ATATTGAAACAAAAACAAAGTCCTATCAGCAGTTTTCATAATATATTGTGGTAGTTTGTGCTTCCCGTGAATGAAAGTGATTTATTTTACCTTTTCATCAGTTTCTCATGTTTATAATAAACAAACGCACAGAAACATAATTCTCAAAAATTCACAAGTAAATAACTCAAAACACTCAATTCAACCAAACTTCAAATCATGGAAGTACCAAATCGTTGATTTCCAAGAACACCGAATCTAATTATTTTCACCAAGAAACGACCATTCCTTGACCGATCGTCGAACCTGCTTGGAAAAAAAAATGCTCGAAGAATTTAAAGGTGAGACATGCGACATAAAAATCAATTGTTTCAGACAACAATGAACAGAAACTGGAACCTTATGATATGCTGTGGTGAAAGAAATTGGTCTTGGATTTATATTTTCAATTTATATTTACCTAGAACTATGCACTATGCTGCTCGAATACCAGCAGAATGGCTTTCAATATATATTTCAACAAACCACAAAACCTTTTGCTTTCGAAAGCGTTTTTATTTTACAAGGGTGATCCAAAAAATTTTCGACCTCAACATGAAGAAGCAGCACTCGTAAATGAAAGCTACTGAATTTTGTTGTTCATCTGTTGACAGTTACTCACCAAAATTTCAGCCATTTAGGACACGCAGTTGTTATGTAACAGTCGTTGGAGTTAGCTGATGTGAGTGTTTTAGACTAAAATGGAGAAAATCTAGTATCGAGCTGCCATTGAATATTTGTTTTTGAAAGGCGATACGCCTACCCAAATCAAAGATGAGTTGAATTCTGTGTAAGGGGACTCTGCACCATCATTTACCACAGTGAACTTTTGGGCAGTTGAATTTAAACGTTGCCGTAAGAGCGTAGGAGACGATGAACGTTCGGGATGTCCAAAAACTGCAACTACCGACGAAAACATCGCCAAAGTTAACCAAATGGTGCTAGACGACCGCCGAATTGAAGTGAGAGAGATAACAGAGGTTATGAACTTTTCAAAGGAACGTGTTTATCACATATTAAATCAACATTTAGGCATGAGAAAGCTGTCCGCGCGTTTGCTCACGTTAGACCAAAATCGTGCTCGAATGAACATTTCTAACACTCTGTTGGCGTAGTTTAGGCGCGAGAAATCCGAGTTTTAGCGCCGATTATGCACTGTAGATGAAACTTGGATATACGTCCGAAAATTAAGTCCAAACAGTGGACTGCAGAGGGAGAACCGGCTCCAAAAAAGCAAAATCTGTTTTTTCGGCTGAGTAAGTGATGACTGTTATTTGGGATAGTCACGAAGTCATTTTAGTAGATTATCTTCAGAAAGGAAAAACTATTACAAGAGCATACTACGCATCATTACTCAACAAGCTGAAGGCAGAACTTGCGGTTCTGCCTTCACCATGGCAACCTTAGCAGTTGCCATGACGAAAATCTACAATTTATGGTTTGAATTGCTTGATTATCCGCCTTACACATCAGATCTAGCCCCAATGACTAATTTTTGTTTCCTCAACTGAAAATTGCGCTCGGAGGTCAGAGATTTTCATTAAATGAAGAGGCAATCACCTTCGTGAACAATAATTTTGCAGAGAAAAATGTCGAGTACTATTTGGATTACAGAGATAGGTACATCGCTGAGAGAAGTTAGTAGAGTAGAAAAGGAGACTATGTTGAAAAATAAAAAAAAATCTGAAAAAATGTCTTGTATCTTTGTCAGGTCGGAAACTTTTCAAACCACCCTCTTACTCATTGACAAAATGTCTCATTCAACTATTTTTACAAGTAGAAAATAAAAAAGTTCCTCAAAGTTAAATGAACAGGGCAACAGGACGGCAATAAATGCTGTCTTGAATCTTGATATCTACAACTCTTCTCTGCCGGTGTGTATGTTAACAATTCCAAGAGCAAATTGTCCTTTGATAGCGTACCATTCATGAATATATCTCCTTTTACTGAATTTTGAAATGATTTGAACCTCTTAGTAGGTAAGTGAATGTTCCTTTATCCAGTGGTTTCAGAAATTTTCAGAAAGTTGTGAACATTGCTGATGACTTGTCAAAATTTACTCGATTTCACTTACAGTGAAAGTTATAGGTGGTTTTTCTACACTAGACTCACCTATGAAGAAATGATTCGGTGTAAGACTTTTGAGATCCTTTCCATCTGAGAGACATATGTCAAAGGTATACTGTTTGCTATATGTTCCACTTCTGCTAGAAGTGTAAGAATAACTATTCGTCTAGATAATTTTTTTAGTAATATTCATTGATACATCTTTTAACGATCGTACAATGCGCTCCCACACGCTCCCCATATGTGTGCTTACTGGTGGAATAAGTTGCCAAATAATTTCCTGAGATACCATCTTCATCTTCATGAAACCTTCGTCTGAATCTTTGATTATTTCTTTCAAGTTTCGATTTGCTGAAGTAAGATTTTAATGAACCACTGTTGCTCCAAATTGCTGTCTCCTACTGGAAATTAATCTCCTTATTGCCAAAATTCAAAATATTGGTGAAAAATTCTGCGAGGTCAACATAGATAGCTCTAATTGAGAGACATATAAAGATTTCCACTTAAATCCAATTGATAATTCATTCCAGTATAGGTGACTATAGGTGGGTTCTGGTGATGTTGCTCTGGAAGTTGTTCTATTGAGGGAATTCGAAGTGACTGCGAAACCCTATGTTTTTATGATATTCATCTTGTCCGACAATCCGACAAATCTTAATCAAGAGGAGCCACCGTTGAAGCTTCATCGAACAATGTGTGAATTTCAAGTAAATTCTGAATAGATATTATTAGAGGCGGAGCAATTTTTTGTAAAATTTCTGTACTGACTAATTTTGTGGTGTTAGTAATCACTTCCAGACTGTCGGTATCTTTTTTCTCATTATTTTTTATTAAACACGTCAGTATGAAGACTAACATGATGTTTTCTTTCGTAATTTGTCACATCTTATTTCTAATTATTATGACAAAATTTGATTATACATAAGGTCTAAAAACAAGAAAAACAAATCATCACTTTATACAAAATCTCATCTATTGAGATATCCAATGAAGTTTAATTTATCTATTACAGGTTCCTCTTTAAAGACAATACATTTATGAATAGAGGTATATTTTCTTGAGAAGTGACCAGAGATGTTTTCAATCTGTATAAGGCATAGATTGAGCCTAGCATGCTGCTATTGATTTTCTCTATATCCACTTTTTATATTCTTGCAAAGGTCTCTTGCCTTTGTTTTCAAGTAACTTTTCAGCTCATCAAAGATGCCTGTTGTAGGGTAACTTCTGTAGAATATTTTCTAGAACTTGTTGGCCTTCCAAATATTTTTGCATGTTCATAGTTTACAGCAGATTTGACACATCTTCCGTAAAATGTGTCGAGACCTGAAATCACTATTTTTAATTAAAGGAAAGTTTTTTGCTTTATTGTCCAGACTCTTCAATAAAATCGATTCTACTGTATCTAACCATAATCGGGGTGATTCATGAAGCAGATAACAACAATCGACCATCATCCATTTTCAAAGCTTTTTCCAACCGACAAGTTAGTTGTTGAAAAAAACTGTTGAGAAAAACTTGTCCGTTCAATAGTTTCTCCAGAATAAATTGGTAAATTTCTATCAATTGATTCGATTTTCAATAGCTGTTTAGTTTCTGCAACTAACTCTTCATTTTCTCTCTTATATTAATGCCTTACCCTGTGATATTCTCAAGATGTGTCCTACTACTATCAGGTCTCTTTAGTATACTACTATACTATTGTCAAATTGAATTTTGTGGAACGATTTCTCACCTTACATGATTAACGTCCGTACATAGCAACTAATTACTCACTTTCACTCCAGAAATTATTGAACAAAATCTTGTCACCTTCCAAATAGTGTGAATTACTAAGTTGCAATTTAAATGCTTGGCTCAAATGAGCTTTTTCTACTGTCAACCTATTTTCAAAGAGACTTTCATGAGTCAATTTAGAGCAGTAAATATCAAGATAAAACGTAATAAAATCAGCTAAAAACGAATGTTCCGCATTTTTTCTTTCAAGACTACTTATGCTTCTGTGTAGCTAGTAGTAGTACGACAGTAATCAATAATCTATATATTGTTTATATACAGTGTTTGCTATTCTCTATTTGAAAATTAGAAGTTGAGAATTATCATAATTCCATTTATTGACATTTTCGACCGACACCGACAAAATTCTAGATCATAGCCAACCGACTCCAACTGACCTCCCTGTAAATTTAAGATGAATCGTTCAAAGAGAACCACTGCTGTGTCCTGCAAGGTCACCAGATTCGGGTACGTTACATATTTTCGTGGGGCCACTTAAATACCTCAATTAATAAAACTCAACTAGCATCAGTAGGTGATTTTCGTCAACCCATTATTCCTGAATGTTGAAAAATATCTATATTTTTGTATAGAATCAGGATATCATATTGAACAAATGTTAAAATGAAAATTTAGTAAGTGAATTGTTTGATGTTACATTATATCTCTCTTTGCATGAAAAAACATCCAGACTGTGCTTAGAAAAAATTACCCCTTCTTTCACCAAAAGGGCATAAGATAACGTCCGGCATAAAAGTTAATAAAAATTAATTTTCTTCAGGTTGATTTGTGATTACGTCAAAACATTATTTCTCGATATCCACTGAGTCAAATTTAAAAACAGCAATTGATAACCTTTTCAATAAAATATCACTCACATTTAAAATTAAAAGGTTAGATTGCACTACGTAGAGGGGGTGTACGTGAACATATGCTTTGAATATTTTCCTCAATTGGTTGAAATTGCTTTTTTCGTTAATCAGCTAATGTTTCCATGGAAACGGCAAGATAGATTAATAAATAATTTATTGGTGTTTTATAGATTCATCAGTATTTACACTCTGGCATCTATCAATATTTACATAAACAATAGATGCTTACAAGTCAAAGAAAAAAGTTTTTTTATAAAAAAAATGTATATCTTATAAGTACATCTGAGTTATGTCGACGAGCACACTTAAAAACAAAGCGGTAAAATTTAAAATTGGGTATTATAAAACAACGACAAATGTCTATATGGTTAAGGAACTTATATCACGGTGCTGAAGAAGGCGTTTTTTATTAAAAAATATTTTATCCTTATTTTGTATATGTTAATAGGTAGAGATTTTATTTTTCGTTGTAATTTATTGTAAAGTTTCACAGCCCAAAAATTTGGTCCATTTTGACATCTTTTTAAGCGGCAGTAGTTTGTACTCAAATCATTTTTATGCCTAGTGTTGAGGTCATGCACATTTTCATAACTTTCACATTGAAATAGATTATTTTTATGTATATTAAATTTTCCATGATATACAGAGAAGGAAAGGTTAGTACATATTTTTAATGTAATGAATGAATTTCGACATTCATCTCTGTAGACAATATTGTCTAATAATCTAATTGCTTTCCTTTGGTGTCGCAATATTCTATTACAATCTATTGCATGTCCCCAGGCGGTAATACCATAAGAAATAATGGATTCATTCAACGAAAAATATGCCGTTCGAAGAGTTGCTTTTGAAACTTGTCTGGAGAGGTTTCTTAGTAAAAATAGATTTCTCATGAAGTTTTTCGATAGGTCATTTATGTGATGATTCCATTTTAACTCACTGTCAAAATAAATTCCCAAAAATTTCACACTACTTTGTGAATTTGAGTAATTTTCCATTTTTCTTAGGGTGAATACCATATTCTGGGTTAAGAATTGAAATGGAATGAAATAATTTTGAATCATAGTAAATGAGCTCAGGAAGGAACAAAGAAATTCTGGTCAAATAAATACTCCACTTGAATCCAACTTAATAATTATTGTACAGTAGTATAGTAGTAAGAACTACTACTATAGTTGTAAGAAGGCGGGTTGACTGTCCTTGTTCATTTTTCACTGCCTGAACCACTGTGCATGCTGTTTTTGGCGAGTGCATTGGCTTGGGATGTGGGGGTTGAGCAAACCGGCCATCGGATGCCTGCTTCCACGTAGCCCCGCTGGATACGGGGGTGACAGAATCACTTGCGGTTATGTTATTCCCTAACTGAATGGCATCCCAACGATGGCTTAATCCTAAGGTGTGTGTATCCGTGCCGAGAGGATGAATGACACTGATCCTATCAGCTGTCTCTACGGAACCTTCGAGATACCGGGCGCCCTCTCGTCGTAGCATCGCCTTGACCAGGTAATGCGGGGCTTTGCCGTGATTGACCTTCTTTCCCTAGCTACTCGTGGGACTTTTATGGACAGAGTAAACTTAAAAATTCTCTCTGACGCTGAGTCTATAGAGGAGATGGATGTCGAGCTTACGACTCCAAGTGACCTCCCTGTAAATTTAATTCAGGAGCGAGTCTACAGAGGAGATGGATGTCGAGTTTACGACTCCAACTGACTTCCCTGTAAATTTTGTTCAGGAGCGAGAGCTGCAGCGCAGCACAGAATCTGTCTAAGGTGGGGGAACAAATCCCCCATGAGCAGGTTAGCAAACGTTTGCGCTCAAGTGATGATTCACCAAAACCAGAGGCGTAAAAGCCCTGCACGGCTGAATCTAAGGCATCATCAGGTGTAGATGACATGCAAAAACCCTCATATGGAAAGGTTGTCGTGGGTATCAAGGCGGGAATCTTACAACTATCCGACTACCTCATTAACAGAGCATATACTTTGTGCCTGCCCCGCTGAGAACCGAATCAGGTCTTTAGAGTTCGGCAGAGCCGTACTCATATCATCGGACCTGAAAGACCACTCACCATACAAACTAATCGGCTTCGTTAAGAAGCTGGGTTCATTTGTTCGAGTGTGAATAGGTGTGAGCCACAATAAACCCTTGCGGGTTGCGGTGGAGGGTCGAATAGATCCGCTCACTTTGGACCTAACCTAACCTATAGTAGTAAGAAATAGAATATGTGGAACAAAGCAAAACTACGACGTTTTATGTAGGTTGAGTGACGAAATTCACAAAGTCAAATTAATAGAAAACTGAATACTATACAAGCCAAAACAATTATTTGAATTTTGGTATTTTTGTCTAAGCGTCCGTGCGCATCAATATCAAAAACAGCTTTAGCAATTTGGGTGACGTTTTTACTAATGTATTGTGGTAAGCTTCACTTAATGTGAAGTATTTGATTTAATTCAATTGGTTCATGAATAAAAAACTATAAACATACTGTTCAGTCGATTTGACTGAAACTTTGGTTAACTATATCCATAAATTATAAAACGATTTTATTATAAATAATTGATAGGCAAATATTGAAGTACACGCAAATGAAGCCGCGGGCAACAGCTAGTTTCTAATGAAGTTATTGATAAAAAACCTGTATGATACGGACTTTACTGGTTACACTGTATACATTACTGACTATATTGAAAAAAGTCTATTTTTCAGAAAATTTGTTCAAGTAATTTAAACAGTCTCAGGTCCAGTAGAAAAGAAAGTTGGGCTATGAATTAAATTGGAGTACAAGTATAATGCAAATACTTTTTCTGACCAATCTTACATTATTAAAAATTCAATACATGCCTGATAGTAGTTGAATAACTGATCAGTAAATAACATTATTCTAAAATGTCTCATCAAATACGAAGTTCAATTCATTTTCAGAAGGTGAACCTATACTATAACCTGCCAAAACCTCTAATGTTCCTTTCTTACCTATGGTTGGTAGAATGTTTCTGAAAAATGCATTTTGGTCAATGAAATTTATGGTTGAATAAACGGCAACTGAAAAATAAAGTTCCTCTTACATTAATGATCTGACCAATTCAATTTACTTCCTTCACATTATACCCTACATAACATGAGATCAAAGAAATGTGACCAAAATTTGTTGTCAATCAATCTGCACTTTAATTCTTTAAGGACACTGTACTCCATCTGTCATTATAAAATATAATTAATATCGCTTCAGTTCTTCGTGACTTTCCATATGCAGTTACTTTACCAAATTTTCTGAATAATTTCTATCAAAAGATCGCCATCTTTCGTCTACTTACCTATTCATTATTGAAACCATGAGATCAACAGGAACTTTCTCAACTTGAACCAGATTATAAAATTTATCGGACAGGAACACATTGATACTTTTTGGTCTCAAAAGCGTATACAAACAGCCATTGATAATCTTTTTAACGCCACCCTGAAAATATTGAAAAGTCTATGATTATCACCATTTCTAATAATATCATCTGTAATCTGTATCCGAACTGACGATGTACCGTCAAGAACTACGTCGTTATTATTTATTCAAGACGTGACAAGACCCACAATATACTCCTACTGATGGACCGAAGAATGGAGAATAGTTTGGGATTCTTTACTCATATCTGTATTTGGTCAGGTCTTTGGAGATAGTGATATGAAACACTCCTCAATAGATGAACATTTTACAATGACAGGATTGATGTTCCTCTTCCCAGCTTCATCAGAAATAATCTGATAACAACTGCTAATTCGTAGAACTGAGGAGTCCAGTAAAAGTGTTTCAATGAAAACTTCATAAACCGCTCCAAGAATATTTTCATTCCTAACTTCCTTGAGACTCGACGATAGAAATAAAAATATTTCAGAAGACTGTATCCAGCAGAAATACATATGTATAAGATAATAAGTATTTCGACATTGAATATTGAAACATTCATCTCTTCCAACGTACCAACACAGTAGTAGTTGTTTTCCGGCAGGAATTTACCAAAATTTACTATATAGGTATGTTGGGAGAGATGACTGTTTCGAGATTTAATTTCAAAATATTTATTTCCTCATACACTCGAAGATAATCAGTTCAATATCATGTTTCTGGTCGATAGTTTAGTATAATACAATATTTCAAATTATCCCCTGAATAACGCCTTCCGATGTTGGTCTTCTCCGATCGACTGCCAAGTCAAGGTCACTTGCAGCCCTACTTGTGTCTCATCTCAAAAATACTATAACGCCGTGTCTTCCCGAGAGTTGCTTCACCAGCTTTCAGATGGATTATATAAACATTACCGCGACGTGAGACAGTCTAGTTTGGAAAGGGCAGTGAAAATGGAGCTAATAAGGCCATAGGCATTTGAGCATAAGTCTGAAGTTCAGTTAGAGTTTTTGTGTTGTATTGTCAGTGTAGTAGTGAAATAAAGTTGAGTTTAATTTTATAGTTTGGTCGATTATTAACGAACCAACGGGGAAAAAGGTAACAATATTTTTAATTCAATCCGAGAATCATCTAAGAATATATATTAATATATCAAACAAATTGGAGACAAAAATATAGAAGTCACTGACAAAACCAACCAACCAATGAGGCATAGGATTTTTAATACATTGTCTTATTTATTTGTGAGCTGTCAAGTATTCTAACACCGATTTTGTTTCTTACCCAAGACTTTTTTTCGATAATTTACTGTCAAATGTTTGAAACCAGAGAACCTGATGCAGTACTGATCACAAAGTCTATCATTATAGGTCAATAGATAAATAAGATACATAAGGAGTATGAAAAAAAAAACACCTGGAAACACACCCATCATCACTGTATGGTCATACAATTCCCGATCAGAGCTACCTCAAAAAAGTAGGGAGCAATATTTTCATGGTCTAGAACTCAAGATGTACATTAACTTCACATATCAGAAGAACATATAATATACCCTCGTTATCTATTCTTTCAATTCGTTAATATTGCTAAAAGTTGAGCCGAATACCCTGTCTTTAATGAAACCACATAATGAAAAGTTCAAAAGGGTTAGATCGGGTGAACGTGGTAGTCATTCAATAGATTGTTTCCTATCCATCGTCCTGGCCTAGTCGTATTTAGAAAATCTCTGCAAATAGTTCTCCGATGTGGCAAAGCTCCATCATGTTGGAAATACTGATATTTCCTCAAAATATTCAAAGGCAAAAAAAGTAGGGACCTACTCGTATAATCTTGGTGCCTAGCACATTAAGTCAAATATTAACTCCAAATCTCTCTTGGAAATTTGTAGCTCTCTCTATATAGAAAGGAAATTTCTTGTCACCAGTGATAATGAATAATTCTGTTGAAGCATCAGTTATGTACAAAATATTTTTCTCCTATCATAGTTCATTAAACACAAATGGTGGATTTTTCTGGTCCACTAACTTGGTCCAAATATATTATATCCACGTCAACGCGTTAACACACTGATCTACCTCAACCGCAAAAAGTTCTCCCATCTATTACATTCAAGTTCCATAAAGCTCTACAAAACCTACGTTCGTCCAATTATGGATTATACAAGTCCGGTGTGGTGTCTTGTCCTGGTGCGCAATAAGAACTTGTTGGAAGATGTTCAGCGTCGAGCCACGCGTGGTATGACTTTTTGTGGAGTGCGTCCAACCTATCACGAAAGACTGAGGATGGCACAACTGATAGCTTTTGACCAACGTCGACTCCGTGGGGACCTCACCATACATTTCCATATAGCCAAGTATAATTGTGCTAATCCGAAAAAACTTTTTGTTTTCAACAATGATTCGTGGTTACCTGTACACACTCAAATTAGAAAAGGAGAAATTCGCAGGCAGAGACAGAGACAATATTTTTTGGTATCATATTTTCAAAAAATGCAATAACTTACCCAATGATGTTGTGAATTCTGACTCACTGAATAGTTTTAAAAACAAAATAGACATTTGCTTAATTGTGTTCTATGCATATATTAATTTTTATATTAATTTTCTTTTTGCATGTATTGTAATAACTTGTTGATATCTTTAATTTGACATGAAAAATTAGTTTCAAATCAAAATGAATAACTATACCTATATTTTTCGTGGATTCATCTATTGGTAAGGTGGTATTGACTATTTCCAATATGGATAGACAAGATTTATTCTGATATGTTCATTGTCAAATAGTATTACATTAATTACCCTATTTTATTAACTTGAAGTCATTGTTGATATGATTTTGAACTTTTTAAAAACTCTCTGTATACAAACTATAATGCATTTGGGTATTATCTGCATGAGCCTGTATTTTGCAGTACTCCATCGAGGTTAACATACCACTTATGTATGTAATGAAAAACAGTAGCCCCAATATTGAGCCTTGAAATCACGTTACGTTAGATCTAGTTGACACAACACTGTTCATAAATACTTTCTGATTGCGAATTGATTAGTAATATTTTACAAGAAAAATTGTATCATCAAAAAACCAAAATAACGTAGTTTAAAACGAAGTAAAGTTTGATTTTTTCTACAAGTTGTAAAGGAATACAATCTGGACATGGGTGGTGTTGACTTACTAGAGAATCATCTGGCAAGACAAACTTTTACTTCACAGTAAGAAATTGTATTTTTAGCTTTTCTACCATCTATTGGATTTGATAGTAATGAATTCTTTCTTGAGCACTTTATAAGCAGAATTTGATTCAGCGTTCATGTACTGAAAAAGTGCTGACATTGTCTGAATTCAAAACGGAGATATCTGAATATTTGTGAAAAATTGGTTCATAGCGAAAAAGGGAGAAGAGGGGTAGACCATCCTGGGGTATTGAGTCAGAAATAAAAAAAAAGTAAAGGCTCTGCTCAGCATATACCTACAAAAGATGTGAGACAAGATTCTATTTGACATTGGTCCATTTTGATTGAAAAAAGGGTCAGGTGTACAGTCTCAAAATATTTATCAGACTCCCAGACTGCATGTTCCAAATGTGGTTTTGGACTTTGTTATAACAAAAAAAAATGTTTTCTACAGTTCCATACAACCAAGTCTACATAACAAAATGGTCTCTATAAACATAATGTTGCATTTTAGCAACATATAAACAATATATAAAATATTATCAAAAAATTATTCAATTCATTTTTAATACTTTTTCATTTATTCTTACCCAAAAATGAGTCAGGAGAGTCAGCAACAAAACAGAAACAAAAAATTATGCACTGAAGGGTTAGAATCTTACATAATCAAAGGCTGCTTCTATTCACTGAGCGAATATACAAATTGGAATACCGTTTATTTCGCAAAATATTAATGAAGTTGTCTCGATAAATAATTTTCAAGTATTCATGGATTATGACTACAGATGAGACTAATTGAATTATATTTTAATGTGCTGTAAAATTATTTTGAGCAATCATGTATGTAGCAAGTATTGTGACTTATTTCATGCAATTGTAAAATATGATCAAAGACATGGCACACTCATAAAATAATGACTTTTGTAGGCAACTTTTGGATACCTGTTTTAATACCTTTGGTAACATTATTGCAATTTTCATAGAGATTTCTTTTTTTTTTTAATAAAATGCAATGTATTTCATGAAACAAATGAATAAAATATAGCCCATGTTACTTACTGTTGAGTTAGCTTTCTACAGGTGACAAAATTTATAGAATTGGTTGAGTAGTTTTTGAGTTTATTCATTACAAATAAACAAAACTTTCCTCTTCATAATATTAATTCAGAAGATAAATTAATTAATATCTTACCAGTACGAAATTATAAGAGTCATTCGACTTTTTGTACCACTCGACTTGCCAATTAGACATAACTTCATCAAACAGCTGCAAAGTATTTATCAATAGATCTAAACCTTTCAATCCCACTGTAGTTTCAGGAATTAGGAAAATGTGCATGAAAACTTGCTCATATAATTTTACAAATGAATAAAAGATTGGTAAAGCAGACGTCTTCATGGACTGCAACATTCTCTTTACGAACTTGAACAGTAATGTACAAATCGTCCATCCTTCTTCGAGCTGCTTGCTGTTCAACTGAAAAATATTACATGAGAGACAAAATAAATAAATAATTATGAACATGACTCAGGATTGTGACTTGAGGTACCCTTACCTTATTGTCCTTTCCATATAGTAAAGCAGTGACAGGAACTTCAATAGTAATCAGAAACTTCTTTATATCAATGTTCAAAAAGTCGAGATACAAAGGGGATTCCATGTAAAGATACATGCTATACAATGTAATTTTGGAGAGTGGCACAGTATGGCTGCGATTAAATAATTCTATAGTGCAGCCAAAGAGTTTCTGAACATAATTCCTGTATGAGAACCACAGAGCAATATCCTGTAGATTCTCAAACTCAAACAAACTGTTAACCGTTCGTACACACATTGTCCAAGGTAATAGTCTTTCTCTAGCAGTTGAGTCAAAGTAGCATTCTTTGTCGTATCTATCTTTAATCAGCTCATATTCGTGTTCTAACATAATGCCAAAATATTCCAATAACTGCTTCAAATCAACAGTAGATTGTTCAAAATGTTTATGCAGATTCTCAATGAAAAGCTGGACTATGGCAAGAATAGTTAGCCTCACGTTATCGGCGTGATCGATATAATGAATTGTGAAAACCTCGAACATAGCTGTGGCCTTTCTCCAAATTAAAGAATGCTTTTCTCTGTAAAATAAAAACTACATTTAATCACTGGAAAAATAGAGTAATTACATCCGATTCATTTTAATTTGAACGTAATGAAAAACTACAAATGAATCCCCATTATTAATACTGTGTGTTCTCAGTACAATCACTTTTATAATAAGGACTTTGAATCAGATAGTATAATGAGATCTCTGTAGTTTGGATCGACCGAACGTATGGATCTCAGAAAATGTAAAATTTCACTAACAAAAAAAACTTTTCATCTTCCCAAGGGGTTCTAGACCTGTTTGGCGTGAAATAAATTTAACAGAAAAACTTTTCTCACACCAGCACAAAAACAATGTCTATCGACGTGTGTTTCGCTAAGTTAGCATCATTATATTATAGTGATTAGGCTGATTTTTTAAATTTAAAACAACTTCGAGAGGCATTTTCAAAATTGACTGAAAAGCGAATATTCAATTGAGAAATTTATTTTTGTGAATTAAAACCACTGTCATTGTGAGGAAGAGATTTATTTCTTCCAGTGACATGAAGGCGTTGAGTTTTTGCAATAACTGAGTAAAACGTCAAACTAAAAAAAACATGATAACGTCTCCTGATGATGCTAACGTGATTAGCGAAACACGCGTCATGAACCAGTGTTTTTGTTCTGGTGTGCGAACTGATGATAACACATCCATATAATAATAAATAGTATTGGAAATGTTCTCACACATTACAAAGCATTTCCAGAATTTAACACACTCTATAAATCTTTGACCCAAATATTCTAAGGAGGTTGGTGGTATTATATACTTCCACACAAAAAAAATTAAAGGATGTCAACTCTGGTGATCGTTACAGTTGTTCAATGCTGTCTCTTTTATCTATTCAGTGCTGTGTAATATGTTGGTCTGAATCAGTTGTATGATTCGCCATCACCGATGGCAAACCATTGATGTATGCTGATGATACGTCATTAATCATTACTGGAAATACCATTGAAGGAGTATAAAAATAATTGTACGATAGTAATCAGCTCCTTCTGAACTTGGACAAGACCAAAAATATGCATTTTTCCATGAATCGTCAAGTACAATTTCAGTTCGCAAATATTAATATTGAAGACATTTATTTGTCTGCTCGTAATAATAATTTTTAGGTACAATCATTAATGATGAATTCACATAGTCACATAAACAATGTGTGCAAAAAACTCAACTAATCATATTTTGTTATAAACAACATTAGGTTGTCAGTTAACAGAAGTTTGATACTATACATGTTCATTACTCACTAGCCTACTCAGCTATTAGTTACAATATTACAGTGCCTCTGAATATATTCATCAGTCAAAAAAAAATGATACGCGAATAATTAGACGCAATAATGAAAAATTAATTTCAGGAAGGTCCATTGAAGCACATATGAAAAGTTTCTGGAATGGGCCAGTAGTTACCTCTGTGACATGTTGGCGAACTCTCTAACAAAAAATTCAAGAAACAAATAAAAACATATCTGAATGTTAATCCTATATATTCGATTAAGGAATTAATAGGGCTCCGAAGGACAAAAATATATTGTAATATGTAACCCTGTTGTAATGTATTTGTGTGATGTTTTTTGACTGCTTCCAACTATTTTACATTTTCTTGTATATCAATGTTGTATTACTATCTTTTGAAAATCTATTTTGTAAAAAAATGACGAACCTGACACAATGTATAGCTTATTAGGCAATAAAAATATCTAGAGATCTATTTATTTATTTATCTATAACTTCGGAGATGCGATTATTTTCGTATGTGCTAATATAGGAGTTTCTTGAAATAGGTAGATATATATGAGATGAGTCTAAATGTAAATTTTACATAATGAAAATCCAGAAGAATGATTATTAGGTTGTTTCAAAAGTTTTGTCCGTTTTGATGTCATGTGTTTTTGTAGCTCCATATCTCAATAAATATTTATTCTACTGTGTCGTGGTGTACAGTGATCGATAGAGAATTTTGAACTCTATACATTGATGCTGTTTATTTTATTCCAAATGTCAATTTTTTGCCTCGTTTCAGCTTATTACTGTATTATGTCGTTAAGCGATTTTCGGCCAATTTTTCATTACGAATTCAAATTGAACCAAACGCTGCCATAACATCCCGATAAATTAATCAGGCATTTGGCAATAATAATGTTAATGAACGAAGTAGTCGACTTACAGTTTTCCCACGGCTATCCATAAAGCCATGATAATGCTAGGGTTTATCAAACGGTTAACCCACGATTTCACTGACTCAACTGCTATTAAAGCCGCTATTAAAACCGCTCAACTCGACAGCAACAAACATTTTTATTACATACTATTTTATCTTTTGAACCACACATTCAATAGCTGCATTCCAAGAATCTTACGATTGGCCAATAGTAACGTTGATCTTGAGATATTTAACATCTCCATTATTTGTAGTATATGTTTTATTGTCGCTCATTGTTTCTTGTCGTTTTATACTCTAAAATCAACCCCTTTTTAAGCTTCAAATTTACCCCTTTCAAGCTATTCTTAGTTGGAATTTGTATTTGTAATTCATTGTAATTTATACTTTAAATGGGCTTGTTGGTAAATAAATAAATAAATAATTTCAACAAGCCATAGTGGTGTTAGGATGAACCATACATTTTTCAACCACTTACCAGGAAATCTAAAATATGGACTTTAGTAAGATAAAAAAAGAAATTACCATGCAACATACAGGATTTTCTGCAATCTGATATAAATCAACAACTATATAGTTTTCATAAAAACTGCATCTCTGACGGAAATGTCATTTTGACTTGATTGTACATTTTTCCTTCTATGTATCTTAGAGCAATAAAGTATTATTTTTTCCCCAAGGTTGCGCTGGTTGGGTCCTATCTCCGAAGCCCCGATACATTCAGGAGAGCATGCCAGCATTATCAACCAATGATCACTCCCCACACCATGGGGTAATTGATCATTGAGTACAAGAATCATGTAACCTGAGTAAGCGCAGTGAATCAAGAATGACAGCCTTCTGCAATTTTCAGGCTAAGATTTCTGCATTAGTACGGCAAGCCGGCATGATTTTGAGATTCGAGAGTAGAGAGGGCATCATTCCTCCAAGGACTCCAATAATCAGAACAACCATCTTGACAGAGTGGTCTAGATAGAGTCTGCGGAGTTCGAAGAGAAAATCTCGATATTTTATCCGTTTTTCCTCCTCTCTTTGGATGATATTCGTCTCGCCAGGAGCTGAAAACTCCACAAGAAATATAGTCTTGCTCTGATGGTCAAGAGTGTAAGGCAACACCGATGTCTCGTCAATATCGTGAAAGTGCCGTAGGTGGTAATAAAGCACTTTTTACGGCTGCGTTATATCGATGGATATAGGCTGAGACCACATATGATGGACATGCTGACAGCAAGTGCGTTAGGGTCTCAAGCACCTGGCCCTGCACTTTGTGTTAGGAAGCTCTATACCCATCGTGCGACTGAATTGACTAAGGTGTTGAAGACAGGCCATGATGAACTTCTTAGTTTCCGACTTCAACCCACTCGACCTGAGAAAAATGAGGGTCAGGAGCTTCGATAAGCCGAGGTTCTCAATGGTATTATTATTATTAGATGAAACCAGAGCCCAAAAACAAGCACCTAGCATCACTGACGAGACCTTGGCGGGTCGAAACAGGGCTGCTTAGTGTTTGATCACGAATGTTTTGATTTTGAGCTCTGGTTTCATCCAGTTACCTTGCAGTAGGAGTTGCAGGGACGGACGGATTACATATCTCGTTTGGCGATCACCTTGGGGAGCTTTGTTTATCTTTGACATTTGTTGATTAGGTCTTCTGTCGATCACATAGATGGCGTCAACATAAGACGATTATCATGCTTTGTCCGTTGAGGACAATAGAGTCTAGCAATGCATTTGTCGTTCAGTCTAGCACCACTGATGAGACTTTGGCGGGTCGACACAGAGCTGTCAGATGTTGCATTACGAATACTTTATTTATGGGCTCTGGTTTCATATAGTTACCTCACAATGAGAGAGCAGTGAAGGACTGATGACAAATCTCGTTTGGTGGTCGATATCAATACTTGGATTTACATCAAATTGCCTCTGGGAGTCCCTTCATCTTTGCTAATTGTTTATCTTAGATATTCATGCATAGAGCGTTGAAACTTTGGCTGATTAAAATTGTGCTGTCTGGTGTTGGATCACAAATGCTATGTTTTTAAGTTCTAGTTTCATCTAGTCAAATAATTACTCACATTCAACATCACCAACCTTATGGGTATAAGTACCTACTTGTAAGATAGTCCCCAGTAGGATAATTGAAGCAGGGTAAAATTTGTCCAGAGCTCCATGCAATGATTGTTTACCATAAAATATTGAATACCCTCTATGGTCATCATGATAAATTCGTGCTTGGTTTCTTGAGAAAATTTTCTCACTTCCGGTGTTCTCTCCAACATGATGATGAACTCCATCCAAGATCGCAGCATTGATTTTCGTTCTTCTATTTCGTCCAAGTTGGTAGTGTCCGCTGTGAATATCTTCAAGAGGTATTCCATCCATGACTTTACCTGGTGTGAAATAAATATATTAGACTCTTGATTATAATGAATAAATAGGATGGATGCAATTACTTGGGATCGAAATAATTAAGGCGTTAGTATATTCTAGTTTCTTCAAAGTAAGATTTGAATAATTGCTGTTTGAATGTTTTATGTGATGAAATCGGCCGATACTTGATGAAAATCCATAACGTATTCAATAAACACTTCGTGAGATTTTCATTAAACAGTTTTACAAAAACGCAACACGTGTTTACTATACAATAGCTTCTTCAGGCGTGTATAGACACGCCTTTATTATACTGAATAAATAGGATGCAATTACTTAAGATCAAAAAACCAAATATATATCAACATTATTTTTCATGAATATTACTGCAGTTTTTTCCCAACACCAAACCGTTATTTTAACACCTCGACACGTGTTTCGATCACCAAGTGATCACCTTCAAGAGGAAGATCAAACTAATCATACTTACAAAGCTATCCTTATTTATACCATAGATACCTTATCTAGATAAGGCAAATTGTAAAATTAATTAAAGACACTCAAAACGCAGGTACCTAGAACAGTTATCTATGGTATAAATAAGGATAGCTTTGTAAGTATGATTGGTTTGATCTTCCTTTTAAAGATCACTTGTCGAGGTGTTAAAATAACGGTTTGGTGTTGGGAAAAACTCCAGTAATATTCATTACTACACTAAAGGTTCCAAACAGTGCACCACAAAAATTATTTTTCCTTTTGTTTTTTTTTTTAAATGAAGTGTGGAACATTTCTTCAGGGATTTCAAATCAATTTATAATATATTAGACAATGGAAGTCCGAACTGAAGAAATACACCACGAAACAATGTCAACCACCTTCAAAGTGTGGAATGTTATGAATAATTTGTCCAATAGTAAAATATTGCCTTATACATTAAAAAAGATGTTTTAATTTAGTTGTCTAGAAATGTTTGGAGTATGTGTGTTTGTAAATTGTCATACACCCCACTTATAATTATTTTCACCTGACTACTTTAAGATAAACTTTCAGTATTTGTTTGAAAATGTCCTCATAGAACGAAACTGCAGTAACGTCAGTTACAAATACAAGTTGTATAAAAACATAGAAAGATTTATTTCTCATTTCTCATGAAGATTTTCTACCACGTGGTAACGGTTACATCCATCAATTTATTATAAATATAAAGAGATTTATTTCTCATTTCTCATGAAGATTTCCTACCACGTGGTAACGGTTACATCCATCAATTTATTATAAATATAAAGAATTGAAACACTACATTTTCGGACAATAGTCAGTTTCATCAAGACTCAGCATTTGTTGAGTTTATTTATGGTGTTAAATCATAAAGGTGTTCGGTTTGGGATCTGATTTTCAGATAGTAATTTTAGATACTTACCTGTTTGCTGTTGGTAACAAACTTCTCTACACAAGACAAGAATAGACTTTCGTTGACATCATTGATAAGTTGTAAGCCAAATATCTTGAATATGTGAGTGTAAACACAGGTTGCATGATTAATGTCTTGATACAAGGGTTCGGAAAGAAGCTGCCAAAACCCCTCCAAAGAAACGACTTGCTCTATCAAATGCTTTCTTCGACTCACCCAAAGATTTGCCATTATGTGAAGGACTCCAACTTGTAAAGGACTCCTCAAGTACTCACAGGTCTAAAAAAAAGAAATGGTCACTATAAAATAAAAAGAAATCTTTACAAATACGTATTCAATGAAGATTAATGCCACTCTCACCTTTTTTATATTTTTCAGATAGTCAACCATAAAATCAGTGATTGTATCACCAGATATAGTCCTCTCCATAACTTCATCATACCACTTCCTGTATCTTTTTACGTTGAAAAATGCCGCTGTCATTCCATGTTGATGCAAAATGCAAGTACTTATTAAGTCCAAGATATTTATTTTCAATTCATTGTCTTCAGTGGAATCTCGAAGTCTGTCCAAAAATAATCTGTGAACTTGATCATAATCCAACTCCAGGTACCCGAATAAAGGAATGTCTTCATCCTAAAATAAAGAATATAATCATAGAAAGGAGATATACTGATTAGAATTCGCCATTCCAATCTGCGTTAGCGCACAAATAACAATTATTGTTTCTACTTATTGTACATAAGTTGTTTGAGCTACAGTTCGAAATACCTACCTTCACTAGATTTCATTAATTTTTGTATTGAATAGAATAAACAATTACCGTGTCTTTTGAAATTAATTTGCCAGTTAGAAAGAAATTAGGTATTTATTATAGTGACTGATCAAAACCCCGAAGTAACTATAAAAAAGTAATGGATAGTTTTTGTTTCCCATTTTTTCAGCCAACTGATAAGACTTACATAAGTACATTACATATATACACCAGTACCACTCCCTAAATAGTTTAATTTGATTACTTTATTAATATTAGGCCATTTGCGAAATTCCAGAGCACTTTGGCATATGTGAAATATTTATCATGTTTGTCAGGTTGGTGGTTAGTTTGGAGAGTGAAATTAATAGATTTAGGATTTTCAAATTGAGATTTTTCAACAAATTTGTATTATTTCCAGACACTCTTCTTATCTGAATCAATGTTTTCAATAATTGAGAGAATTATTCCAAATACACACAAATTTGATATTAAAGAGATTGAATGAAGGTAATGTAATAGTTATGATGAAAAAAAATTATATTGGAAAATCTTCAGATATACCTCTTGACAAAAAATCATATATCACACCTAAAAGAGATCCTATCTTAACTTGCCAACAAAAAGCAAACAACTTGATATAAGAACATAGGCTGTCAATGCCAGATTCATGATTAAACGGAACCTGGAGTTCCATATGTTTCGTCTGCTTCAGCGGCAGACATCATCAGTAGTTGACTGTGATTTGGTTTTATTTCGAAATCTCAGCAACGACTAACCGTCTTTGATATCTGCTGCAGCAACAGACAAAAAATTAGGCTCAAAAACCTACAGACCACAGCTAATGAATTTGAAAACAACAAATGATTTGTTATACACCGGTCGTGAGAGCCTACAGACCATGTGAATCGAAATTTGTAAAATGTTTTTTTTTTTTAATGAATAAATAAATGAAAAATATTCCGTGGTGGGTTTATTCAAATGGTTATAATGTCATAAAACTGTAATATCATTGTAAAATGAACGCCAAAATCATTTATTGAAACTGCATTACTTACCCTTGCCAGAAATTCCAGGAATCGGCAAGCCAATTTCTTCAGGGGAATCGAGTATGGATTGAGAATATAAGCAGTTACAGATTTGGAGATGAAGCCAATCTTTTTGTCCAGAGTGGTCTTAATATCTGGCCTCTTAGACCTGTGCTTGAATAAAAGCAACACCATCACCAACTGCAACTGCACGCTCTGTATATATTCTACGCAAGTTCCACCCATCCAATTGGACTCCTGCTCCATCAAACATTGTAAATGGAATTTGTCTTTCAGAAACAGTGCTACATAATTCGATGTGACCACTTCTTCGTGCAATAGAGCTTCCAATACCATTTCAAAAACCATAAGTGAGTTATCCGTCACTTTGGACAAGTGCCGTTGGAGTACTTGTCCAAAAATCGAGAAACATAATTTTGAAATGGATATTTCTTCACTGCGATCTTCGTAGTTCCAATGATGGAACACATTGAATGTACAATTTATTATATACCATACACCTGCTAATTGCGCTTCCTGATGGTAAATATTTTTCTAGAACAAAAAAAGGAATATGAAGTGTCTATGCAATGCGACCAAAGGCAAAGCTGTTTAATGAAAATGAATGGTGAAATTTTGGATAGGCTGCGCCCTCCGATTAAAAAAAAAACAAACTATATTATTGTAGCAAATAATTTCAAATTACCCGCAAAAGTTAGGTTGGTACCAGTTAGGTGGTTACGACTGAATTAACTGGTAAAAAGAGGTAGAGGAGTGGGAAAGAACTTAGGGAGTTAAATGATGATTGATGATGGTTGGTTCAGGATGTTTACGTTCACATATTTGTTTTTATTTTCGAAAAAAGAAATGAAGTGGAGACAAGTTTTTGGACGCAAGTCCATTTATTTATTATTACCTTCCCATTGCTTCAATCGAATTGATTAGTCCAATAAATTTTTGTCAACGAAACTGTTGAATAATTAATTTAGCTGAAATAAATTAATAACTCGTATATGTCATGACCCCGCCAAATATTACTGTAATGTATGCACATGATTCAACATACGCAGGCATGCATACAAACATTTTTATAACGTTTCTGATATAATCAAGACGTTCCAGCAAGATTCCACTTGTCATATTCATGTGCTCTGCTTGATAGCTGAATTCGAAACTGTAAAAAATTGTCATTGTCGATGCTTGTATATTTATACGTTGTAAACATCAACGAGAATGACTTTTTTCAAGTTCAGCCAACAGCAAATGCGATCTCGCCGAAACGTCGTGATTAAATCAATGACGAACAGATGTACACTCGAGATAACACTTCAGCATGTGATACCATTCATGTAAAAGTGTTTTCAACAGATGAATATTATGCCAGAGGCTCCAAATTTCAATTGACAAGGTAATTTTGATGTTTTGCGAGTATCTCAAAAACGGTAATTTGTAGTAATGATATGAAAAAAAAATTCAATGTCCGCCCAAATAAACAACCTTGTAAGTCTTACTATTTTTGAGACAATAGTAGAATCAGCTAGAAAAGATCTATATAAACTCACCTCAATCAAGAAGTCTATGAATTGCAAGTACTGAATAAGTAAAGTGTGCTTGGTCATGTTTTCTTCTTCTCGCAAAGACTTGAATAACAAGCTATGGTTATCTATCAGATCTTGAAAAACTTCTGCATTTGTTCTGTCGCGAGTAATAGGCGCAGGAAGAGATGTTTGCCTCACCAATGGTGGAAAGGCCTCTACAAAGTCTAACAACTCCCTTGTTATCACCGTAAAATTAATTTCAAAAAAAAGTAATATAAACTCGAAATTTTTCCTCTGACCTTCAGCAAACAAGACAGGTACTCCGTTAATAAGTTGCACAACACGTTTTAAATCTTTATCTTCTCTTAAATTTCCTCTGTAGTGCTTCAATAGATGATTTATGAACTTATAGCCAATTATGACCAGTTCAGATAAATTTTCATAGCACTGCCGTTTGGTACTAATCTGAAAAGTCATAGAACTGAGTGAAGTCATGAATTCATCCATTAAGGCAAAAAAACTGAATGAGTAGTGGATCCTAGCAAACTCCATTCCCTGGTAAGCAAAGCATTCAACGACAGTACCACTCGGAACTATAAATCTGTCACTGTTTGAGAAAAGCCTCTGATCACCAACTAAATTGAAACTCCGTCTATGGTCATTCCAGGGTATCTCGGATAGGAAACCAGGTATCGATCTCAAAAGCTTCATTATCTAAAATTATTATTTGCTAAAAAACTAAGTCAGCACTGTTGTGAAGTTAGCAACTATTTTTCAGCAATCATTTTTATCTAGCGGCCAAAACCTGTGTAGCGTCAGGAATATTCAGTGCGAGTTTCTATAAAGTGCACATATTAAAATGGAGAATACAATATCTAATTTTATTGAAAGAAAAATGACAAAACAGTTTGATGAAAGTGTTTTGGTACAAGTAATTTATATAATTACCCAGCTTCAGTGAGTTATTAACTCAAATTTCAGATGGTTTATTTTGTGTGCCACGATATTGGTTAGTTAACAAACAATGAATTCAATTTACACCATTACATTACCTGTTTTAAATCGGTTTCAACTGTTGTCGTTTTCAAAGTCCAAGTCTTTCCCACGCCACAATTGGAGAGGCAGGATGTTTTATTTGCTACATTGACTTAACAATTTGATTTCCGTTAGAGAGAGATAAGAACTGAATCAATCTAAGGATAATATTCTGAAATGAACGGAGTGGAGAGCCTTAGAAAAATAAAAGAATACTGCTGCAGAGTTGTTGCTCGATTTGTTGTTTTACAAAACATTTTTTTTTCAATGTTTTTTGCTAGCCTCTAGAATTCGTATTCTANCAAGCACTTCTAAATCTTTTTCAATGTGCGTTGGCAACAATTTGGCTACCCCAGGTGTATTCCTAAAGGACAAAAATTATTAATAATGAAAGTATTGCATCTGAGGATCAAGAAAGAGATATAAATGAGAGTAGTAATGTTCCGCCTCTCTAACAGATACTTCAATCATACATATTATTTGATTTGCTTTGCTGAAGCTTTTAATTTCCATAATTTTATCAAACTTGAGAATATTTTCGGTTTTTGGTTCAAAAGATAATGCTTTTTTGCTGATATGATTTCTTTAAATAGTTTATTTGGTTAAACTTCTGAATTATGAAAATGTTATAGCGATTTTTACTTCTGAAAGTATGTCATTTATCATTAGGAATGCAGTAATTTTTCATTTATTTTCAAAGGAATACAAACGGGCTGAACCCAAATACAGTATTCACAAATATATTAATTACAAAGGCAATTTTAAGAAAGAAATATAAATATTGCAAGCAACGGTAAAAGTACGGCACAAATTACGCATACGAATTAGGTAGGGAGAAACCATACTTCTTTTGTTTTAACATAAAGGTGGTCAAGGAATTAGAAAAAATATGTTTTTGATATCTGGAATAATTAAGGCAACGATGCAGAGGGGAATTCATGAAGTAATTTGTATTTGTTGAAGATATACTAAACAATTGGTAATATCGGGTAGGATATTATGGAATCTAATATTGAATTAGATAGTTAATTGAAATGGTATCGGTCAAACCATTCATAATTCTAAAGGTGAATTTGATGTCAGTGATACGCCATCATAATCAGCAAGACTGATTATGTTAAGTTCTCAACACACGTAATTACGGTTATTCGGTGAGTCTCTAATATATTTTTTGTTGATATAATCTATAATATAATGTCATAAAGAGCATTCATATTGTTTTTGGATTACTGAAAGGATAACTTGCCCTAATAATGAAGCCAGGCATTCAATTTGTTTTTTTAGTAAAATAAGATATTACTCAATCAATTCAGAGTCAAATGTTATTCTCAAGTCCGTTATTTCATTACATATTTGGTTATGATGGTTTCCTAATTTATAGACAAAATGTGATGGATTATTTCGATGAAATGTAATATGATAGCATTCGTGAAGGTTTGGGCAAAGCGCATTATTTTCACAGTATATTACCAGAAAAATCATTATAATTAGAGATTGCATGGTATATTTGCAGATCGTCAGTGTACATGAAACAACTGGAAAACTTAAAACATTCTGAAATATCATTTATGTAAATGTTGAAGAGTAGTGGACCCAAATGTGATCCCTGGGGAACTAGACATGTTATGCAAATCGAGATTGAGATATAATTTCCAATAGTAAACCGCCTGACGACGGTTAATCACGTAAAATCGGAAACAATTCAGCAGTGATCTAGTAATACCGACTTCAGCAACCTTGACAACTAGTAAACCATGATCAATTTTGTCAAAAGCTTTACTGAAGCTCGTGTAAATAGCATATACTTGAATTTTGCTGTCTTAAAAGTACAATACCAAAAGCTACCCGTGTTACTGCCACCTCTAGTACATATATTAACAACTTTTTCAATGATAAACACAAAGACTTTATGGTAGAAGTCAAAAATCATCATTTATCAGATCACTATGAACAAGTTATTGTTGTTTGTGTTTTTTCTAGTAGGAAAATAAACTGAAGCCTACGAACCACTTCAGATATTTTTCTGGCGAGAATATTGAACATTTTAGAAGACTTCTTGGTTATAAGGTTATCCATAAATATATCTTTTATATAAGTTTTAAAATTATTCTTGTTTCAACTAGTTTTAATGTTTCAGGCTAAGGACTTTTGTTTTATAAATTATGTATCAGTTTAACCAATGTTAGTCGTTACAGATCCTAGAAAAACATTTGTATGTGTTCTTATGTTGTAGTTATGAATCTGGTTTACAATAATGAGTATTGTGTTATATTTTTGGTTTTCATTTATTATATTGTACATATATTTTCCTTCTTCGATTTTTATTATATCAGATACAGATAGGATACTGATATTTTTGTAAATATATTTTGACTATTATTTTTGTAATCTTTATATCAATATTATCCAGCTCCTTCAAAATGGAATCAAATACCCATCTATCTATTGCATCTATTGCAAACAAAATGCAGTGAAAATTATACAATCCATTTGAAGTCTCCATAATGAAAATTATTATGGTTGAATTTTTGTGGGACAGAAGAAATTTCTACAATAATTATGCCAAGTATAAACCATTCTTTAATTCAACCTCCAAAGATTTGCCCTTATAATTGGGTACATTATCGGCTAAAATTTTATTTGAAACTAATATTGAATCCATTACTAAATTCCAATTTTCAAACATCGACTTTTGCATACTAGATAATAATTGCCACTGAAAAATGACTGATAACTTCACCCTGGCACAATATAGGATAACTAACTTCTCATTGTGGAGTTAACCAAGTTTAGCTTCGCAAGAACTTTGAAATTGTATAAGTCAAACTGAAGGAACTTACGTCATGGTATTTTTCAGGAAGTAACAGCACAGATTTGCACATTTCCAAAAATGGTTCAAAAACAAAAGGAAATGCTTCCAACGATAGTTGAAAAATAGGACTCAAACTTACTACAGCAGGCATACCCTTTCTTTTCAACAATTCGGCAGTAACTTTACCAACTCCTGCTTGCTCATGTAAGTAAGAGAAATCTGCACAAATTTTAGTGAATTCCAGTACTAGTGTATATACAGCATCAATAACAATTTCGCCAACTCTACAGTCCTAAAAATTGACTAATTAACTTAAACGTCACCATTATTTTGCGTCAAAAGGTGGATCAGTTCTTACCGAAAACATTCTATGAGTCATCACTCTTTGGATAGACTCAAATACTTTTTCTTCTACTAATTTTGCAGCAACATTGTTACAATAATTCATGTGTCTTTCCTCATTGTCCCCAATGGAAGTTTTCAAGACTGACCAAGCAAACAATATAATACTGTTATCTCCATGACGGTCAAGCACTTCTAAATCTTTTTCAATGTGCGTTGGCAACAATTTGGCTACCCCAGGTGTATTCCTAAAGGACAAAAATTATTAATAATGAAAGTATTGCATCTGAGGATCAAGAAAGAGATATAAATGAGAGTAGTAATGTTCCGCCTCTCTAACAGATACTTCAATCATACATATTATTTGATTTGCTTTGCTGAAGCTTTTAATTTCCATAATTTTATCAAACTTGAGAATATTTTCGGTTTTTGGTTCAAAAGATAATGCTTTTTTGCTGATATGATTTCTTTAAATAGTTTATTTGGTTAAACTTCTGAATTATGAAAATGTTATAGCGATTTTTACTTCTGAAAGTATGTCATTTATCATTAGGAATGCTGAAAAAAATTGATCCTGTTACCCAACCAATCTTTTTTCAGAAAAATTATTGGATCACTAGTTAACTATATTCTGTATATTCGAATAAGTAATATAAATAATCATACATAATCGATTCAAACAGCTTAGCTATAATAGATAACTTTGAGACAGGTCTATAATTCTCGGGCAATTGTCTGTTACCAGATTTGTGTAACAGAACAACATAGGCTTGTTTACAGAATTCAGGAAAATATTCTTGGTTGTCAATTTTATTTCTTATAACATTTTCGGATATGTGGTATTTGCAAGTATTTTGATAATTTTTATTGCCAGATACTGTTCTTTTTTGGAATTTTGAAGGTTGAATAAAAGTTGAAGAAAAGTAATCAGAAAGATTTGCTTTTATCGATGTTTTGGTATTTTTTCCACCGGGAGTGATATTTATTCTTTTCCTTAACCACCTTTATGGTGCTCACAGTGAAACAAAGAGGATTTTTTTTGAATAATGTGAGGTTATTTGCAAATTATTTATCAATAACTTAGTGTATTGAAGAATACAAAATACCGATAGATTAGTTCCTAAACATATCTATCCGATCCATGCCCTTGAGTGATTCGTTGATTAAGTTGTAAACAAAGGTATATGGCATATTTGGATATTTTTCAGTTCTATTTTGGTAATTCTATCCTTTAGAGTAACTTGATTTAAGTTCAAGTTTGAGTGCTTTTATTTGAAAGTATCAATTGATCTTTTAAGAAGAGTTATTCGTTATTTCACGATAGTTTTCAGTTTCTGTTAATTTTCTGAAAGATTTATTGCGTTATCATATCTTTCAGCATCATTTTGATCTAAATAACCACTTATGGCTTTATCCTAACTCATTAATAAGACCACATTTCATTCTTTTTAGATTTATTAGTGAGTTTCAATAATTTAATTGGATTTTGATATCTCTTCTACTTGTGCTGGATGATATGAATTGTAATATCTCATTTTAAAGAAGTTGTCAGAGTGTTTCAGAGCGAAGTCACAATTTTGAGTTTGGTTCTTATATGCAAAACTGTAAATTTTCTTACAAAAAAATAGGGTCTGAAATATTCAGGTGCCCATACAATTGAAAAAAGTTCTTTCGTATTCAAAAAAGACACTTAAATGTGAGAATTCCACTTAAAAGTTCACAAAACCGCGACACGTGTTTCGCTATACGATAACATCCTAGTCTTTCGATATTTTCTTGTAAGGAGATACTGAAAATATCAAGGTATACTAGTATATTACTATGCATATCAAGTATACTACTGAAATGTACTGGGACTGTCCTTTAATCAGGACAGTCCCAGTACATTTCATAGTGTCCGTTTTCTGTAGGAAAAGCTGTTTTTTAATAACCTTCGAGTTCATTTCTGTTTGATAAAAATTGACCACAAGATCTAGGGTGCTAAATCATTGACTTTTCTCCAAATTGTCCAATACATCTGTAATATTATGCACGGGTATTTATCATCTACTGTTTTCTCATTTAATTACCTGAAATCTATTTCCATTTTTCCTTCCTCGAGGCATCAAATTTTTTTGGTACAATCCGAACAGGGCTTGACCAAGGTGAAACTATATGTTGAACAATTCCCTGATCCAACATTTTTCCTATTCGACTCTTTACTTCAGCTTTAAGTATTTTCGGAAAACGATAAGTTTGTGTAGAAATTAGAGTTTCTTCCGTCTATTTAATTTTATGTTGAATCTCATTGATTAACGTCAATAATATTTTATCACTATAAAATATATACCTATATTTTTTCAATTACCTGTTTATTTTTCAGATTATTTGCTTTCCAAATGGTATCCTTATATGTGTCCAAATCTTCATTAGTTTCTATTTTTAATTCGCTAATATGAAAAATTTCGATATCTATTGGTTCTAAAATTGTTATCTTGCTTAGCTCTGTATTGGCATTTGTTATGGTAGTGATCGACATATCGTTGTGAACATATACAACAGCTCATGGTGATTCAACTTTTTGCAAAATCAATGTATTCAAGATATCCCATACCTTTTTCTTGATTTACTGGCACTTTAATTACTTAATTAATGGAATTAATAATGAACACTTTTTTATTTTCAAGTTATTGGTTGAATTTGTCAATTTTTGTGATCTATATATAATTGGTACTTTTACAAAAGTTGTAGTAATTAATTTTGAATGCAAATTAACTGAAGCATTGAGCTATTTCAGCATATTAATACCTATCAGTACATCATATTTGTTAATGAATATTACTGGAGTTTATTCCCAACACCAAACCGTTATTTTAACACCTCGACACGTGTTTCGATCACCAAGTGATCATCTTCAAGAGGAAGAGGAAGTTTGATCTTCCTTTTGAAGATGATCACCAAACCGTTGAACACCAAACCGTTATTTTAACACCTCGACACGTGTTTCGATCACCAAGTGATCATCTTCAAGAGGAAGATAAACTTCCTCTTCATTTCAAGATGATCACTTGGTGATCGAAACACGAGGTGTCAAAATAACTGTTTGGTGTTGGGGAAAAACACCAAAGGTTCTGAACAGTGCATAACAATATTATATTTGTTCTTAAATTTGAATAAATAAAATTTGTGAAGGCATTGATTTGAAACATTGGGAGAATTGGAATTTCCATCACTTCGTTATAACTAATTCCATGAGAAGTTTGAATATTGAAATCTTCATCAAAATTAAAATAGCTTATTTCCTCAAGTAGCGGAGTAATAAATCATTTTGAAGTTGCTCTTCCATAGGCGTAGATAATTGAGTCGGTTAAAAAGTGAAAATTATAGTATTATATATACCAAAATTCCATAATAGTAGTCACTAAATTCTCAGAATTCTATAGGTATATTTTATCAGATGAAACCATTTTTAGAATCACAACCTGACAACAATGTTTTCA